GGGGCGAGAGAGAGAGAGAGACTAAACCTTTTCCCTTTCTTGTCTCCCTTTTTTGTCTTCCCTTTTTTTTGTCTCCCTTTTTGTCGTCCCTTTTTGTCTTCCCTTTTTGTCTCCAAGGTTTCCCGATGGCTTGACTCCGTGTTATGAAAGAAAAAAAACAACAAAGTTAACTGGACAAGCACATAGGATAGCCCTACATGATAAAGATCAATTGACCAATCGCGCCCCAGATCTCCAGCTTACAAGTGCTGTTTACACGGCCGGGGACTAAGAACCTTGACCTCTCAAACTCTGGCCTACATGACGAACATTCGCACAGTCCTGCAGTCAATTACATAACATGCACCCAGCTGAGAGAGTGTCGGGTAGCTAAACTATAATCTCAATCAGCTTGAAAGAGAGTAGACCAGAATTCTGTCATTATCTCTTATCTGTAACTGCAATCCTGCACAAACTAAGACACAACTAAACTGGAAGTGTTTCCAATCTATCACCTGTAAGCATGGCTCAAAGGTATGTACTACTTATTGTATCACATTCTGTATTTTTAACATCACTTCAGGTCCTCGTAATGTAAGAGTGGTTTGAGGATGGAGAATGACCTCATTATCTCTATAACATCATCTGACCCCTAGACTCGTGGGGATCCTGGGCACCTACCCATCTATTTAAGCCGTATATTTATGTTAATTAATGCTTGCACCAGTTGCACCCAGTGTTTAAAATCTCCCAATGGCAAACTGCATAATGACATGCTTCTTATAAATAGATAACTAGTTTTATTGCTATACTAGATTATTGAATGTTAAATTTCTCCCAGCGTCCACTGCCATCTACAACCCGTTTGTTAACATTACACTTAACAATGTATTCCATTTTCTCTTGATCTTTCAGCGGGAGCCAAGAAATTTGTTTCTCCATCAATGGAGAGGAGCACAGAGGTAACAGGGTACTTTATTTAATTAAACATTTCTACACGAATGCAAACTGCTCACAGACACTAAACACTATCAGAGGAAAGAGAAGCATTTATGTAACTGGCAGAGGCGTAGCTAGAGTGTTGGGCGCCCGGGGACACGATTCATTTTAAAGGGCCCGCTTTTCTTTTTCCAACTCTCAAACCCATGATTTTCATCCATAAAATAATATCAAAGCACATTTTGGCGCCCCTAGCTAGCTGGCGCCCGGGGACATCTGTAACCCTGCCCCCTATCGCCACGCCTCTGGTGACTGGTGTAAAATTCACAAGCCGATAGCTTGGCTTAACGTGGATCTTAAAAGAAAGTTAAAGCGTCGACCTCAACATTGCCCCCCAAGGTACCATTGCCCCCACGGTACCATTATCTCCATGGTTTAATTGCCTCCACGGTACATCGCCCCATGGTACAATGGTCACCACGGTACAATTGCCTCCATGGTACAATTGCCCCCACGGTACCTTTCCACAGAATTCTCACACCACATAGTCTCAGTAAATTTATTGATATCCTTGAGGAATCCCATTCCTATCATTATAAGAAGTGAAATGAGTCAATTATAAGGTGGGTTTTTTTGTTTGTTGTTGCGTCCCTTTAACTTTACTGCTATCATTACGTCACTGACTTCTGCGTCCCGTTTTTCTTCTCCAGTGTCCACCTATCAACAGTTGTCTGTGTACACGTCACTCAATGCTTACATCAGGGACGTGGCGGGGTTAAAGGGCACGAAGGTCATGTGCCGAGAGGGCGGGTGTGGCTGCTGCTCCGTCACCGTCACGCATGCGTCACCGGAGTCTGGCAAGTTGGACACGTACAGCGTACAGTCTGTAAGTACAGACATAATATGTAAGAGCAGCACTCATGTTAAGTCTGTAAGTACAGACACAATACACAATATGTAAGAGCAGCACTAAGGTAAAGTCTTTAAGTAAAGACACAATACACAATATGTAAGAGCAGCACTCATGTCAAGTCTGTAAGTACAGACAAAATACACAATATGTAAGAGCAGCACCAATGTCAAGTCTGTAAGTACAGACACAATACACAATATGTAAGAGCAGCACTCATGTCAAGTCTGTAAGTACAGACACAATACACAATATGTAAGAGCAGCACTCATGTCAAGTCTGTAAGTACAGACACAATACACAATATGTAAGAGCAGCACTAATGTCAAGTCTGTAAGTACAGACACAATACACAATATGTAAGAGCAGCACTAATGTCAAGTCTGTAAGTCAGAAAAAATACACAATATGTAATAGCAGCAGTATAGGAGCCAGAATAATCAATTCATTGATCGTGGGTCCTCAAAATAAAAAAATAAAAAAAGAAAAAGCACTAATGTCAAGTCTGTAAGTACAGACAAAATACACAATATGTAAGAGTAAAAGCAGCACTAATGTTGCACAGTCTTTAAGTACAAACAAAATGTGCAGTCTTAAGTACAAACAAAATGTACAGTCTTTAAGTATAGACAAAATGTGAAGTCTTTAAGTACAAACAAAATGTGCAGTCTTAAGTACAAACAAAATGTACAGTCTTTAAGTACAAACAAAATGTGCAGTCTTAAGTACAGACAAAATGTACAGTCTTTAAGTACAGACAAAATGTGCAGTCTTAAGTACAAACAAAATGTACAGTCTTTAAGTACAAACAAAATGTGCAGTCTTTAAGTACAAACAAAATGTACAGTCTTTAAGTACAAACAAAATGTACAGCCTTTAAGTATAGACAAAATGTACAGTCTTTAAGTATAGACTCAAAGTACAACCCTCAAAAATGTTTTAGTAATAAAGATATTAATTTCTTGTACTGCTTACTATTCCCAGTGCCTGACTCAACTGTACTGCTTGCTATTCCCAGTGCCTGACTCAACTGTACTGCTTGCTATTCCCAGTGCTTGACTCCACTGTACTGCTTACAATTCCCAGTGCCTGACTCCACTGTACTGCTTGCTATTCCCAGTGTTTGACTCCACTGTACTGCTTACAATTCCCAGTGCCTGACTCCACTGTACTGCTTACAATTCCCAGTGCCTGACTCCACTGTATGCAGTTGATGGTTGGCATATCAGCACCATTGAAGGTATAGGAGGACAAAAGAAAGGATTTCATCCAATCCAGGAAAGAATTGCCAAATTTAATGGTACACAATGTGGCTACTGTACACCAGGCATGGTCATGAATATGTATGGGTAAGTCATAACATTAGGACTAATTATTTTAAATTGACATCCACCTTATTATACATTTTGACAATAATTTTACCAAACGTAATATTTATAGTTAGGCTTATAACAAATGTTTGTGAAAGAAAAGCTTCGCCTAAACTCAACACCGTCTGCTCCTTGTCCAACCAGTCTACTCCATCAAAATCCCAATATCACAGCCCAGGAGGTAGAAGACAACTTTGACGGCAACATGTGTCGTTGTACAGGCTACAGGTCAATCTTGGACGCCATGAAATCATTTTCTGCTGATGGGAACATTCCTGGGGCTAAACCAATTGACATTGAGGTACATCAGATCATGGCATCTCCTCACTAAAAGACATCGTCAGATGTCATTACATTGCCTTTGGCTATATTATTAAATATTATTAAATAGATTTTTAACTTGAGCAATATTTTAGCAGAAAAAATGTGTGTAGCAAATTCTGATTTAAATTCCAGGACCTCAATAAGAACTTGTGCCCCAAGACAGGTGAACCTTGTAAAGGTAGTTGTGGAGAGGCTGAAGTACCGCGACCTCTTGACTTTCAGATCAATGGGATCATTTGGCACAGGTAAGATACACCGGCAGGTGTGGTTAAGAAGGTCAGAATACTTTGACAGAGTGTCATTCACCATTTACCTTTGTCATGTCTGTTTCAGGCCTACATGTTTAAATGGTCTTGGATCTCTACTTAAATCTTACAAGAGCAAAAAAGTCAGACTCTTGTTTGGGAATACAGCTTGTGGTAAGTACTTTATATTACATTTTTCATGTTTGTTTTGAAATTTGTGTTTTTTAAAACTATTTAGCAATCCAAGATAATTACACATTTTCTAATTAAATTAAAAAAAACTAGGAAATAAAGACTAAAACCTGTTTAGTGATATAGTAGACAACACATTTGAAATGTTTCAAATAAACATTTGAACTTCTTTTGCTTTTATTTTCTTGTAATATCATTTTTTTTATTTTCAGGTGTTTATAAAAGAGACGGCCCATTTGATGTTTATATTGATCTCCATAATGTTAAAGAAATTTACTCATTTCAGGTGGGATATTAAATATTATTTGAAAATTTGAAAATTATTTAAATTTATTACAGGCTTTAAAAAAGGGCTTTGTACTTTCAAAGGTAATAAATAATTATGTAAGAAAACTTCTTAATGAAAAAAACATTGTAAAATTTTGCAGTTTCAAGGTAAAAGAAATAAATTTTCTATAATTTAAAAAAAATCTGCAGACACTGCTTTTAACATTAGTGTTTATTTTAGTCCCATAAATTTTACAAGTGAACATTGTCTTTTTATTCCCTTTGTTCCAGATTGATTCTAATGGAGTCCGTATTGGAGGGGCAACGACTTTGACCCAGTTGATGGGTAAACTAAAAGGCAATCAGGATCAGCCAGGTTTTCACTACTTTAGTGCAGTCTACAGGCACCTCAAGGTGGTGGGGAATATTATGGTCAGAAATGTGAGTTTTCAGAGCAGTATTTTTTTACAAGCAAGATATTTTAAAAAAAACCAGGGGTACAGAGAGCTTTCAAAGAAATTATGAATATGCTGTAACATATTAGAAAGGTGTTAAATTCTATCTGAACTCATCCACACTAATAAAGATTTACTTTTTATTAAAGGATTAGATGGTAGGAATCACTTAACTTGAAAAAGACAATTTAAAATCACACTATGGAACAATGTGTTTCATGATATTCCTTTAATAATTGGTCTTTAATAACATACTTTGTATCAATTTGGGATGATGAAGTAGATTACCTGATATATTTAGGAAGAGTATTTTTTAAGGATTCCTTGCAAGATGATACAGTTTTAAGGGCTCTAAAAATCATCTTGGGTACCAATAGATGTTTGAACTTTATTTTATCAGGCAGGTTGTGTTGCTGGTAATTTGATGATCAAATTTGAACATCCAGAATTTCCATCAGATGTCTTCACAATGTTTGAATCTCTTGGAACCAAAGTGCAGATTTATGGTAAGTTTTAATTGGTTTCACATTGGAGAGCTAGTGTCTAGGGGAAGGAAGCCATATCTTCCTATATTTTGATCTATACAAATTTAATAATCACCAAATGCTTGAAAAAACCAAGTTTAAGTAGTTTGAATAACAATTGTTGCTTATTGCCAGATGCATTTACCTCAATCTTGACGATGTATTCCCTCCTGGAGTTTATGAATTTGGAAATGAACGGGAAAGTTATTGTATCTTTGGTTATTCCAAAACTTGATAAAAACACCATCTTTAAGTCCTACTCAGTAACTCCAAGGTGGCAGGTGAGTAGACCCTGGTATTTCATTATTTTTTAAAAACTGAAAATAGTAAAATTGTGTTATGCAGTAAGATGTGTTATTGTTTTAAAACTAACTGATTTTTTAAAAATTAAACAAAATGATCTTTTGGTCATTTATTTCTGTTCCCTTCACAGAATGCTCATGCCTATGTCAATGCAGCTTTTAAATTCACTGTAGAAACCAAGACAATCAAATCTCTGCCCAGTATCGTTTATGGTGGTATCAACGATAAGTTGGTGAGTTGGTTTTTGATCTTGACCAGGAACTCTTCATTGTGAAGCCTTATCTCCATTTATTATTAAAGATTTTCTTATCTCGGTCAGATAGGAGTTTGATGTTTGATTTATGGCAGTGTTTTCCTGTAGATCTTTTAAAAAGTCTGCAATGTAGAAGCTAGCATCAAGATTTAACATTTTTTTAGTTACTGTAGAGAGGGATGATGGGAAGGAGGAATATGAAGAGAAGAGTGATGTCACTGAGTCTATGTCACTGATTCTATGTCACTGAGTCTCTCACTTAGTTTATGTCACTGAGTCTATGTCACTTAGTTTATGTCGATAAAATCTGTGTCACTTAGTATATGTCACTGATTCTAATCTATTCTTTTAATCTGTACACAAACATACATCCAACTTTTTATAGCTGTGACTCAACACAAACCTTGACTCAATGGCTGTCTGTTCTTTCTTCTGTTCTTCCATTTGTTCTTTTTTTAATTGTCCAGTTGCAGTTTCCTCCCTTGAGAAATCAGAGTAATGTTATATTCTTTACTCTGATAGAAGTAATATTGTATTGTTTACTCTGATAGAAGTAATGTGTTTTTTTTACTCTAATAGAAGTAACGTTATATTGTGTTGTTACTCTGATAGACTTGATGTTGTATTGTTTACTTTGATAGATTCATGCCGTGAAGACTGAACAGTTTTTGGCCAACAAAACTTTGTCTGAAACTGTTATGAAAGGTAAGTTTTAGCCAACTGTTATGAAAGGTAAGTTTTAGCCAACTGTTATGAAAGGTAAGTTTTAGCCAACTGTTATGAAAGGTAAGTTTTAGCCAACTGTTATGAAAGGTAAGTTTTAGCCTACTGTTGTGAAAGGTAAGTTTTAGCCAACTGTTATGAAAGGTATGTTTTAGCCAACTGTTATGAAAGGTAAGTTTTAGCCAACTGTTATGAAAGGTAAGTTTTAGCCAACTGTTGTGAAGAAAAGAAAATGTATCAGCTCTTAATAGACAAAAGTCAAGGAGAAAACCTGTGAAAAGTTTAAAGTAGTCATTCAACACTTTCAGTTACTTTGTAAACTACACTATTAAATATTTCCAAAAAAATTAATCCATGCTATATATGATAACAAACGTTTTTTAAATATTTTATGCCCCTCAGTTTGTGCCCCAGCTGTAATCATTATGTCATATATTACACAAATATTATTTTAAATGCCCATTTTCTTTAAGCTATATTTTTTTATTTATCTAAACGGCTTAAAATTAAGATAGATTCTTTTGTTCAACAGAAGCATTGACTGTATTGAAAGGTGAACTAATTCCCACCATTGATGAAATGTCAGCATCTCCAAAATACAGGCAGGACTTGGCAAGGAACTTGTTGTACAAGGTACATTATGTGAACATTGCATCTTTGAAAACGCAAGATACAAATAGATATTACATTATGTTTTTATTTCTCATGAGAGTGAATTGGATGCTGTCTGTTACTCATTCCATTGTGGTTATAATAATTCTTTTTAAAAATAAAATTATCAGGGTTTGCTTGAGGTTTTTGAATCAAGTAATCAAAAGATCAAGACAGGAAGGGAGAGCCTCAGTCATCCCATATCATCAGGCTTACAAACATTTCAAGAACTGAAGAGTGAATTCCCCTTAAAAGCATCAATGCCAAAGCAGACAGCTACTTTACAGGTTGACTTGTTATTAATGTTTTGACATGTAATATAAGAAATGAGTAAATTATAAGCAATATCATATAGTTGTTTGTATTTTAAACAAGTCCAGATGAGCTATTTTAAAAGTACGGAAATATAACTTCAATAATGCTAGAGACATTAACTTTGCAATGCTCAAATGATGAAAATTTACATTAGGTTTTTCAATAGAATATTTCTTTTTTTGCAGGCATCTGGTGAAACAATATATGTCAATGATATTCCAAACTTCCAGCATGAGTTATTTGCTGCGTTTGTCACCACTCAGGTGGCATCTGGGGTGTTGGAGTCAGTTGATGCTACTGAGGCATTGGTTAGTTATTTATAGCATCAAAAAGACTTGTATATTAATAGACTTAATATGAGAGGGGCCAATGGTTTATTAAGTCTTATTCACATAAATTACTTGACAGACTGGATATTCTTCTTCTTCTTCTATATTAAGATCAATGTGTTGATAATTTTGGCTCCTAGTCCTATTCTGTTTGGTTTAACTTTTCACTTTCTTTGGTTAAAGATTTCAGCCAGGTTATATATCTTAGTGGATTTGGCATAGCTGTTACCAGAATATTGTATATTAGTGTTTATTAAAGAGCTCCAAGTACTATTTTTAACAAATGAATATTGAATTATCTAAAAGACACCAAACTTTAGTGTTAAAGATGTTATGGCACTTCAAAAATTTTTAAACAATAAAAAAAGGCTATTTATAATTCCAGAAAATGCCAGGTGTGGTCCGGTTTTTGACAGCTAAAGACATACCAGAAGGTGGTAAAAATGACTGGATGGGGAGCTCTGGACTTTTTTACTTCAGACAAGAAGAGGTAGAACTTGAATGTTACTATTATATGCTGTTGTAAATAAATTATTAGTTCAGCAATATCATAGTTACAGTAAATTATTTTTCTGTAACAATTTATTATGTTTTTATCTTTCGTTAGCCTACGTCTGCTTTAATAAAAAGTTACATAAACTAATTTTGAGATTAACTTTGATCAGGTTTACTTTTGCCAGTTTGTTTTCCACAGATTTTTGCAACCAAACAGATTTCCTATTGTGGACAAACTGTTGGCCTCATTCTTGCAAGTGAGAATCATAAATTGTAAAATTGCTTCATTACTATTGTTTAAACTTTAGTATTTAAAAAAAGAATTTTGAAATATTTTGAAAAAGAAACTGTAACAAAATTTTTTTTTTACAGAAACTGCAAGCCTGGCCAAGGCAGCTGCTAGAAAAGTCAAGGTTACTTATACAGACCTTCAGAAGCCAGTCACCAATCTTGAAGAAAGCATTGCTCTGGGAAAAGAATTTGATTATGAAACCAAAGAGACTGTGGTTGGCAAACCTGATGGTGATGAGGAGTTTATCATTTATTTGTGAATAGTTAGCAAAAGAATTACAAATTATTCAATCTAAATCATACTACAGCATTGTATCAGTATTTTGTATCACATTTGTATTAGTACAGAAGCGTTTCCTTTACTTGCTGTATATAATTAGTTTGAGCTTAAAATGCTTCATTTTAAATATTAGATGCATGGAAAAATGTTGAAAAGACAGTAGAGGGGGAAGTCCGCATGGGAGGTCAATTTCATTACTATATAGAGACCCAGGTAAGCTAACAAATTACTTATAGTATGAATATAAAGATAAAATAATTTAAAGTAGTTTTAAAGAAGTTTTATTTACATTCAATTATTCTAAAATAATTTTAAAATGAACTTGCAGTATTATTTACCAAGTCCATTATTTGATACAATAATAGATAATAAAAATATTTATTTTAGGGTTTTATAAATATAATATCTTAAAAAAGTATTATTTCAATTAAACTGAATAATAAGTAAGTTAAAATAAATAAATTTTATTATGTTATTATACTTCCCTATAGGTGTCACTTGCAGTTCCCTCAGAAGATGGCATAGATCTCTACTGCTCCACCCAGTTTGCTGATATGAACCAATATGTTGCAGCTGAAGTAATTGGAAAACCTATTAATTAGTAGGTATCTTTAACCTTTGGGTACAGACAGAATAACAACACTATCATCTTTTGTATAACTTCTTATTTTATCAGAATCTCATTTCAGATAGAGTTATTAGATGGATTTTAAAAATGATTCGGTGGCTGTGAGGAAGATCAAACTAAACCAACACAAAGATGTGTTACAGACGTGAAGATTTTTAAAAAAAAATGTTTCTGTATTCTAGTATCAATGTGACAGTTCCTTTGATTGGTGGAGGTTTTGGTGGGAAAAACTTTGACTCCAGTCTTGTGTCAGCAGCAACAACACTAGGAGCTTATCTCACTGGAAGGTATGTGTGCATTTTATATAGAAAGTTTTAGATCATTCAGTTAACTTTTGGACCAATTGATCAAATACTCATTTTATAAAAAAAAAAAACAAAGAAATAACTTAATATTTTTTATACTCTCAGCATAGTTGTAATTCAGTAAAAAAATGTCCATTATATTAACAGACCAGTTCGCATGTCTTTAGACTTGTCCACCAACATGCACGTGTGTGGTAAGCGTCCAGCTGTAATGGCAAAATATAAAGTAAGTTTTCTTAAATAAGTTGACTTAAAATAAGTTGTGAAAGAAACATTTTTGTTCACATTGCTCCAAGAGTCAAATAACATTTTACTTGGAGAATTTTTACATAACTTTATTTTTTTTACCATTTTTAATTTCTACCCCAAGAACTTTAATAATTATTTTAATAATTAGAGGAATTGATAGTTCATCTTTTAAAATCTTATTATGAATATTGTAATTGTAGGATCATGGAATAAAAAAAAATAAAATATTTTAATGATTTGTCTAATTGCTTGCAAAGGCCTCAAAAACACATTTATTACAACTACTGTGACTAATGGCATTTTGTTTTTACAGATTAAAGATATTAGTTAATTCAACTACTTTAAATGGTTTTTCAATAATATAAATTAGAAATATCTGAAATCGGCAGCATAAGGAATTTTTTAATTAAGCAACCAGCTATTGCAGGGGCAACAGGCTAAAGAAAAATACAATAGAATCATGCTTTTATTTTTTATTAACTCCAAACGTTTCAAGGTTAATGGAAATATGCTCATTTCTACCTGAATTTTTCAGAAAAACTAAAATAAATTTGATTTTCTTTCAAGAATTTATTTAAAAAAAAAAAAAAAGAAATATTTATATTTATTGATACTGTAGAACAATCTTGTTTCTTCATTGTTTAGGCTGGATTTACATCCTCTGGAGATGTACAGGTTATAGATATGGATTTGTATATTGATTGTGGCCACAGAGACAGCCTGAAGCATGTTGTGGGACCAATGAAAATATTTCGTTACATTGACATGGGTGAGTTCAATTTACAAGACTTAGAGATTATTTCAATAACAGCACTTTCATTTTCTTACTAATGAAGGGGACCAGCTTTATTTTTATTTATAGGAGTTATTTCCTTTTCAACTTTTTTAATGCTGAAAGTTTATAGTTTTAGAACTTTTTTTTGGATTTAGTAGAAATACAATTTCAATTTTAAGGTATTTGTTTTCTTTCAGGCTATTATGTTCCAAACTGGAAGTTTCGGCCTCACCTCATGTTCACAAACAAACAGACCATGACATCGGCAAGGGCTCCAGGTAGCCAAATTTTTTAAAAACTTAAACCCACACATCATATGTAAATCATTTTCTCGATTTATTACTTTAAAATCTCTTTCTGTTCCGGTACTTCATTTTTATTTTAAAATGTAAAAAAATATAAGCAGGGCTCCTGGCCTAAGTAGTGGGAATTTCTGAAACTATTGAGTTTATTTAGACTCCACTAATAGCTACGTGAAATATAAGAGTCTGGCATTGCTTTACTCTTTTGAAAACTATTTCACTCACATATTTACATATATTTTATTCCAAAGGTGGTGTGCCAGGTGCTCTTGTTATTGAATCCATTATGGAACATGTTGCTAAGGCCCTGAACTTACACCCTATTGTTGTCAAGGAGATTAATCTCTATGAGGATGGACAGGTAGGGTTACTATGACTATAGCTCTGATAAATTTTAAATCAGTCTAATTCATGCATTATTAGATTTTTGAAATCTTCTAAGATGAAATTCAAATTTTTCGTTTTGCAATACATTTCTCCAAAAGAAGAGCAAGAGATATCAAAATCATTCAATTTATTTGAATTTTTATGAAGAGTAGATAAAAAATGTTGGTATGTTTTTGACAATGTGGACTTGGATTATTTAGTTCAAATATTCTCTTAAATTGGTTTGAAATTAATTTCCTTTGAAGATATGTAAATATTATATTAAAATATATATTTACAATTATAAATAATATCTAAGTATATGAGTAAAAATCTACCTGAATTAAAAGATAAATTGATGAGTGATTATAATTAAATAGTTTCAATAGTTAAATTCAGTAATTCTTGTTATTTAGATTGACTTGCATGGTCACCAACTGAGCCAGTGTCGCATGAGGGAGGTGTGGAGACGTATTAAAGACATGGCTGAGGTGGAGGGGAGGTTGAGGCAGGTGGAAGCTTTTAATGGGGTAAGTTTTTTGTTTGGATGTCATTATCCTTTTTTTGTGCTAATGCTTCTTTAAGTTAAACCTTTTATAGTCAAAGACACAATGAAAAGACTCTCATCAAGCTGATTGTAACTTCAGAGGCTTGTATTGTTTGTGTAGTTAATTTTTATGTCCCTTCCCATGATCTGCTCTATGTCTGCAACTCAGTGCAATAAACTGTAGCTGAATTTTTTATCTCACTATTTCTTTGACATTAGATGAATAATGGGGTAAAACAATTTTAATTTATTCTAATTTATTCACACTGTTCAAATGTGCTTTTAGATTCATGTACCCATAATATTGTTTTTATATTTCAGGAAAATCTTTGGAAAAAAAGAGGTTTGACAATGACAGCATGCAAATATGGAGTGTCATATTTTGGAAATGGCATGCCAGCCACAGTCACCATCTTTGCCAGAGATGGGTCAGTGGCTATCAGCCAGGGTGGTGTTGAGATGGGACAGGGACTGTACACTAAGGTGATACAATTTTATTTTATAAATCAAAGAATTAATCATCTAATTGTCACTCCTATTCATTTTTTAGAACAATATTTATTCAACTGTGTATTTTTTAGACTTCAATTCTTTATTGAATGAGAAAAAAATGGGTTTCAGAGAATCTCTCATATGATTTTTAAAAAAATTCAGTCTCTAAAAATATGAAATGCAAAGGTTAAGAAAATACATTTAAATTTAAAAGACAAAGATACATATTTTCATAAATAAATACTTCAAGGATTTAAAAAAATCCTTTTAAAGATGGAAAAATTTATTTTTATTAAATATAGAACATATAGGTCGTCTGCCATGGGTTGCTATCTAAACTAGCTTGCTAATCTTCTTATATAACTGAAACAACTTTTTACAAAGTGTAATGCTAAGCCTGCTCAGTTGCTGTCTATACACAGGATTTGTTTTTTTACGTTTTACTTAAACTTGGTTATATCTAAGGTCGCCCAAGCAGTTGCTCATGTTTTGGGTGTACCCATAGAAAATATCAAAGTAAGGCCAAACCAGACCATTATCTCTCCTACAAGCTCAGTGTCAGCTGCCAGCATAGCCACTGATTCAGCTGTATACGTAAGTTTAAACTAGAGGTTTCAGTCACTTCATTATTTTTTTGTAAAACATATTTGGAAATTCATATCAACACCTTATCAAATCAAATTTTCAGCAATCTTTATATTTTTCAGAGGTGATAATTTGAAATTTTAGATATTTTTAGTTTTAACAGAAATTTCTTATCACATAAATTTGTCTAAAAATCCATTTTAATGGTTAAAACATAGTCATTTATATCATAGTCATAGTTACTTAATTTATATTTTTAAATATGCAAACAATGGTTATTGTTTTTAACAACCAACTATCCAAATTTTTAAAATATTAAGTTACTCATTAAATTATTCGTAATATATATTTTAATTTGATAGTAATACTTAATGAAAATCCTACTTTACAGGCAGCCATTGAGGCTAGTACAATCCTAAAGGAGAGGATGGGACCAATCAGAGAAAAGTATCCAGATGCCAGCTGGAAGGAACTGTGTCAAAAATGTATTGTCCACAAAATTGATTTATCTGCAAAATATATGTAAGATTTTTGCGTTACCTTAGAGCAGACATTTATTTAGCTTTGCGCATTTACACAACACAGTTAAGAAATCAATTTCTTCAAGTTTGCAAGTTTAAGAAAAAAAAAAATAAAAATAAGTAATTTAAATACAAGCCTATCAAAGGCACTAAGAACATCTAAACATTATGTTTTTTGACAATTTAATTTCACTTGTATGCCTGGCTCCTGAATTAACTGTAGACTTGTCAACTTCTGATTTGGATCCATATTTATAAATTACTGAAGTATGGATAGATACATTTTTTTATATATATTTTTAACAGGTTTGCAGAAGGGATAGGAACACCGTTCTTCAACTATTTTGTTTACAGTGCAGCTGTAGCAGAAACAGAAGTGGATATCCTTACTGGCGAGTCTGTAATCAGAAGGGTTGACATAATGGCTGATCATGGTGAAAGGTATTATTTGAGATTTGTATGCTGTTTTTCTTTATCAATGGTGCACTCTCTAAATTAGTAAACATGGTCTTGTATGACTTTGCCGCCTTATCAATGGAAATATTTATTTTCTTCCATTGCTTTTGTTTAAACAAGTTGTAACTTTTCAAAATAATATCCAAGCTGTAATTAATATAATTGGCCTTTTTTTTTTCATTTTTGCTACATTTAATATTAAGAAATGAGTGAAACAAAGTATGGGGAAAAACTGGATAAAAAGAACGCAAAAAAATAAAATGTTGACATAAAATTAGGATGAGACCCAAATATTATGATATTTCATTGTTTGGACATCATAGATTGCTAAAGTCAATGAGGAACAGTTACATGATCATTTATTACTTTACAGTTTAAATCCTGCCATCGACATTGGTCAGATTGAAGGAGCTTTTGTGATGGGGCTTGGCAGTTATATGACTGAAGATATTATCTTTGACAGTCAAACAGGCAGGATTCTCAACGATGGAACATGGGTTGGTGGTCCTGCTTTTCTTTGATTTTCTTTAGAACATGGGTTGGTGGTCCTGCTTGTCTTCTTTTTTCTTTAGAACATGGGTTGGTGGTCCTGCTTTTCTTCTATTTTATTATAACATGGGTTGGTGGTCCTGCTTTTCTTCTATTTTCTTTAGAACATGGGTTGGTGGTCCTGCTTTTCTTCTATTTTCTTTAGAACATGGGTTGGTGGTCCTGCTTTTCTTCTATTTTCTTCAGAACATGGGTTGGTGGTCCTGCTTTTCTTCTATTTTCTTCAGAACATGGGTTGGTGGTCCTGCTTTTCTTTGATTTTCTTTAGAACATTGGTTGGTGGTCCTGCTTTTCTTTGATTTTCTTTAGAACATTGGTTGGTGGTCCTGCTTTTCTTCTATCTTATTATAACATGGGTTGGTGGTCCTGCTTTTCTTCTATTTTCTTTAGAACATGGGTTGGTGGTCCTGCTTTTCTTCTATTTTCTTTAGAACATGGGTTGGTGGTCCTGCTTTTCTTCTATTTTCTTTAGAACATGGGTTGGTGGTCCTGCTTTTCTTTTAAAAAATCTCTTTATTTTTTAATGTTGTATTATTATTATTATTATTGATGGTCAATGCTTACTGAAAATATACAATTTTCTGACATTAAATTGATTTTTAATTTTCCATTTTTACATACATGATATAATTCCAGGAATACAAGCCTCCCACAAGCAAAGATATCCCTATAGACTGGAGGATTCATCTTTTGCCAGACGCACCTAACCCTTATGGTGTGAGGAGTTCCAAAGGTGAGTTTCCTTCATTGTATTAGGAAATATTATGCTTAGGCCAAAGCTAAATTAAATGTACACAATTTCTCACCATTTCATTACATCAGAAAATATTGCAACATATTAATGCACATATTCTTGTGATGAATGTCCTGAGTTCTAAGCACTATAAAAAAATTTAACTCAGCATGTTCATAAAATAATACTGTTTTTTTAATAGCCGTTGGAGAATCCCCAATTTCACTATCTGTTGGAGCACTGTTTGCAAACAAACTAGCCATCCAATCAGCTCGTAAAGATTTATTTGGTGCTGATGACTTTATCCCAACAGGTAATTTACAAAACTTGAATAATACTACTTTTAAAACTTTTCATAAACATTTTAAGTTATGACATCTTTATTATTATTCTTTTTTGCTGAGCTTTGATTATTTGATGTCTTCTTCAAAATGAAAGAGTCTTGTTTTTCTATTGATTTAAAAATAAAAGGATACACTTTAAGAATAAAAATTCAAAATAAAATATTTCATTTTTTTGGGCTTATTTTTAACTCCTCAACAGTTGCACCATATAGTGTGGAAAGAATACAGCAGAGTGTGGGGCTGAAAGAAGATCATTTTGTCTTTTAAAGAAACCAGTTCATACTGACTAGCTGCCAAATATCTCCATCAAACAGTAATTTGCATTAAAATAAACCAGCCATTTTTTCACCAGCCTTTTTCTCATGCACCCGAGTTAAAATTACTTTTATGTAAAAAAAAAAAAATGCTATTTGTATGCAATTTGTAATTTTGAATAAAACATTATATAAAATATAAACATAAATATTATGGATCATTTTCCTTTCACATGCTCTTTTTTGTAAAGATTGTTTTTTTTTTAAAAAAAAGATGGGTAAAGATTTGGAAAGATTGTAAAGAGTTTCTTATTTGAATGAATAAAAATGTTCATTTCTTGTAATTAAAATAAATACTGTTACATTGATGGTACATTGGAGTGTCTATGTGTACCTGTGGTTAGATCCAGATTCAACTAATCAGGACATATTATGGGTTCCTATAATCATGATTCTAAATGTGGCTTACATCATACATGATGCATTTTTTGTAGGTGTGTTTGCCCTTGGTAGGTTGGTGTGTTTGTCCTAGCTAGGTTTTGTTTGTTTGTCCTAGGTAGGTTGGTATGTTTGTCCTAGGTAGGTTGGTATGTTCGTCCTAGGTAGGTTGGTGTGTTTGTCCTAGGTAGGTTGGTGTGTTTATCCTAGGTATTTTGGTGTGTTTATCCTAGGTAGGGTGGTGTGTTTATCTTAGGTAGGTTGGTGTGATTGTCCTAGGAAGGTCAGTATTTTTTTCCTAGGTAGGTTGGTATGTTTGTCCTAGGTAGGTTGGTGTGTTTGTTCTAGCTAGGTTGGTATGTTTGTCCTAGGTAGGTCAGTATTTTTTTCCTAGGTAGGTTGGTATGTTTGTCCTAGGTAGGTTGGAGTGTTTGTCCTAGGTTTAGGCTATGAAGAATACATGTTTAAGCAGGCCCATGGGACTATGGAGAATACATGTTTTAGCAGACCCATTTGTGGTAACAATATTTAGATAAGCTGGACAACATAATTGTTTGGTGTCAATGTTGTAATTGCAGGTCAGAAAAGGTTGACCCATTTGATACACTGTGTGCATATTGTATGTCTTATTGGTAAACACATGTAGCATATGTATGTATTATTAATCACAGGATGAGGAAAGTACGTCATATGACTCCATGACACAGCCATAATACTTTACACATATTGAAAAAAGAACAAAAATATGTTGAAAACATACAACTTTTTGTGTGTGTTTTGTTCATGATTTGATTTCCAATTCTGTGCATGAATTAAAAGAACAATGTTGATAGCCTACATTGTGTTGTTGTACCCAAAACAACACTCGTTACTTGTGTTGTGCATAAAACAATAACTCTTGTTACTTGTGCTAGAACTGAGCTAAAACTATGACATACCGGTACCATGATTTGTACCGGTATGTCTAATTATTATGACATTGATTCTGGACAAACATTCAAATTTTTACCACATTAAATTTCCTAGTTGGTCTATAGGCATATATGTTGGCCTGTGTGTATATGTTGGCCTGTTCCTATATCTTGTGAATATATGTTGGCCTGTTCCTTTATGGTGTGCCTATATGTTGGTCTGTGCTTATGGCAGGCAAAAAAGGCATATTTGTGGCAACAAAACACAAAAGATATGTAGGCCCCTATGCTCCAATCATTATCCAGTTCTAGCAGACTGTTGTGTTGCAGCTTATCTGCACGATATTTGTTTGTCAGTCGGAAAATTGCCAATAAAGTTGTCTCTAGCCTTAAAGACTAAAGGCCGCAGCTTAAGATTTGGCATCATGGGAAAGCCTCACTATAGCCAAACTAAAGGGAGTGTAGTACGTGAATCCAGATGTTGAAAACATGTTCTGGACATGGATGCAAGAGGAGAAAGCAGTTATTGGAGGGGGGGAGGGGGGCAATCAACTTTGCCTGCTTGTTGATTGTAAAAAAAATCTATGTAATTCAAAATGCCATTCAAGTTCAGTCTGTTGCAATAAACAAACAACAATTGGAAAACTATTTTTTAAACTTCCAATAGCTGTTTTGTACTTAAGTTTTCTTATGATATTTATTTGTCTATAAGTCTAATCCCTTTCTGTGTTACTATTCCAAAGAATGCTTAATCACTCTATAGAATGTCTATGTGGAATCCCTGACGATTCTAGTCAAAGTGTGAGATGCTTAAGATATTATAAAAATTGCCTTGGCATTCGATAGAAGGCTGACGATGCTATTCAAAGTGTGAAATACATAAGACAGTATACCTGGATTTCACACTTTGCCTCTAAAAACCCGCAGGTTTAACCAGAGGCGTAGCGTGGTGGGGGCAGATGTCCCCGGGCGCCAGCTAGTTAGGGGCGCCAAAATGTGCTTTGATATTATTTTATTGATGAAAATAATGGGTTTGAGAGTTGAAAAAAAGAAAAAGGGGCGCTAAAAATGGATCTTGTCCCCGGGCGCGAATCTTGTCCCCGGGCGCCAAACACCCTCGCTACGCCACTGTCACTGGGTTTAACTCAACGTACATGCCACTATTCAGCGATTCCAGCGTACATGCCAATATTCAGCGATTCCATCCACTCAGCGTCCTCTCGTGAACCAGTTGCCCGGAAATCGATAGAAATCTTTGATTGACCCTGCCACACGCACCGACACGCTTACTTCTCCTCGGGAGCACACAACATGGCGACTGAACATTTTATCTCTCGGAACTAGAGATCTTCCTCAAACCGGTGTGTTGTATAAAAAAATAAAAAAATAAACCGTTTAAAGACTAGGGGTACCTCATGTGCACAGACAGCTCGTTATAACCACAGCGTCGATTACTTTGTAGACATACGAGACACGTGCAATGTACACAAGAGTTTGTGTTTTTAACAGGGCTGTGGTCACACCGTGCGTACACACAGGCTGTAAGTGAGTGGACATTAAACGTGCCCCTCTAGCGGTCAGGTTTGTATGACCGGTATCGTCTTGACAGGGTGTGGTCATTCGTTTTTTATTTTTTATTTTAATTGTGATGACTCATTATCTGCCCAGTCCAAGTGATGAACGCCTTTAGTAGATAACAACGCCATTAGTGGATAACAACGCCTTTAGTGGATAACAACGCCTTTAGTGGATAGCAACGCCTTTAGTGGATAGCAACGCCTTTAGTGGATAACAACGTCATTAGTGGATAACAACGCCTTTAGTGGATAGCAACGCCTTTAGTGGATAGCAACGCCTTTAGTGGATAGCAACGCCTTTATTGGATAGCAACGCCTTTAGTGGATAACAACGCCTTTAGTGGATAACAACGTCATTAGTGGATAACAACGCCTTTAGTGGATAGCAACGCCTTTAGTGGATAACAACGCCTTTAGTGGATAGCAACGCCTTTAGTGGATAACAACGTCATTAGTGGATAACAACGTCATTTTAAACAAATCATTCAAAGAGGCAGACGTTAAAGACATTGAGAAGCTCACGGTCAGTGAGGCAAGCCAGCAAGGTAAATGTGTTTGATTTATAGGATATGAATGTGCCCCCCCCCCCACTCCCCTTCCACCCCCCCGAAGGCTGTAACTGTAAAGAGCAAATTTGAATTGTCTCAACAATTGACAGCAACAAAATCAAAGGCTTGTTCTCTACACATTTTTTTAATGTTTTTAAACAACAATTCTGTTAGATCTAAATTCTTGGCTTTCTGTAAATTATGTTTGCTGTAAATTATGTTTGCTGTAAATTATGTTTGCTGTAAATTATGTTTGCTGTAAATTATGTTTGCTGTAAATTATGTTTGCTGTAAATTATGTTTGCTGTAAATTATGTTTGCTGTAAATTATGTTTGCTGTAAATTATGTTTGCTGTAAATTATGTTTGCTGTAAATTATGTTTGCTGTAAATTATGTTTGCTGTAAATTATGTTTGCTGTAAATTATGTTTGCTGTAAATTATGTTTGCTGTAAATTATGTTTGCTGTAAATTATGTTTGCTGTAAATTATGTTTGCTGTAAATTATGTTTGCTGTAAATTATGTTTGCTGTAAATTATGTTTGCTGTAAATTATGTTTGCTGTAAATTATGTTTGCTGTAAATTATGTTTGCTGTAAATTATGTTTGCTGTAAATTATGTTTGCTGTAAATTATGTTTGCTGTAAATTATGTTTGCTGTAAATTATGTTTGCTGTAAATTATGTTTGCTGTAAATTATGTTTGCTGTAAATTATGTTTGCTGTAAATTATGTTTGCTGTAAATTATGTTTGCTGTAAATTATGTTTGCTGTAAATTATGTTTGCTGTAAATTATGTTTGCTGTAAATTATGTTTGCTGTAAATTATGTTTGCTGTAAATTATGTTTGCTGTAAATTATGTTTGCTGTAAATTATGTTTGCTGTAAATTATGTTTGCTGTAAATTATGTTTGCTGTAAATTATGTTTGCTGTAAATTATGTTTGCTGTAAATTATGTTTGCTGTAAATTATGTTTGCTGTAAATTATGTTTGCTGTAAATTATGTTTGCTGTAAATTATGTTTGCTGTAAATTATGTTTGCTGTAAATTATGTTTGCTGTAAATT